AAGAGCAGATGAGTTCTCTCCTCTTCTTCCTCTGAGGGCAGTAAAATGTTGGTTCGACTCATCCATAATATGTAAATGCATCCTAACTCAGCGAGGAAAACTGCCCTTTGCTGGGCTCTCTCCTGTGCCAGCTTGCTGCCTTGACACACCAGTACTAGTTCTAGCATGAAGGAGGGACAGAAAATGCACCCAGGTATGAGGAGGGTGGGATTGGGAGAGCTCTGATCTACACTGCATTGAGCTTCCCTGTTGCTTCTTGCCACCACAGGGGGGAAAAAAGCCCAACAGCTTACAGGCAACACCTCTGGTTCTGCCCAGTAGATGTTCTGATCCCTGAGGGTTACTGGAGTTACCACATGCTTCAGTTTTAGCGGCCAGCAGTGATGTTTGGTTTCTTTGTGTGTTTTTGTTTGGTTTTGTTTGGATTTTTTTTTTTCCAAAAGGTGGGAAGAGAACAGCAAACAGCAAACATTTTTAAGGTTACCAAGAGTCAAGTGTTGCACATAGAGAGCAAGTAAACAAGCAAATATAGAAATTAATGGTCTCCATCTTTGTGGAAGTAAACTGCAGAGCCTATACTGGTAATTTAGCAGTGAACCAGCGTCTTTGGAGCACATCTGTGCTTTTGGGAAACGCGTGGTGTGCTCCCCTTCTTCCAGGAGCTCCGGCCCCGGGTGCAGCATGCGACCCGTGCCACCTCGTACGGGCAGTTCGTGCCTGCCCAGAAGCTGTCAGGAAGCGGCAGCAGCACAGTCTGTCAGCACCTGGAGCGCGCTTTAGTTCCTTTTTCGGCTTCACCCCATTTGTTTAAGCAGAAATGTGCCCTAGAACTTGGCTTGCTTGTTCAGGGGTTTTAAATTCCATTTTTAAAATGTAGGCAAACAAGTTCTGTTTGTGCTCAAATGACCTTGACTGACTTGCAAATCTGGATCAAGTTTTAATTAGTATGTTGGTTTGTTTCCAAAGTTATATCTGTGGTTCCTTTATTTATTTTTTTTATTAGATCAGGCCTCAGAGGTGCAGGTGACAATGATGCTGACTGAAAGCTGTAAACTCAGAGGACTTCATCACAGGTAAGCTAAGTGGTGGTTATAAACAAAACTGTACCTGTGTCAGCTGAAAATACTTATGCTTACAACTCCCTAGGGGGAAAGGAAATGATTTTTTCAGAACTTAGCATCATTTTGTACATTTGAAGATTTTTGTAAGCCATAAACTGCTGAAATTATTTTTGTGACACTTCAAAATACAGAATTCTAGATATACTTTTTATTGGGAAGGGTACTTAGAAGTTCTTTTCCAGCTGCACAGTCGGTAAAATCAAATAATGGCAGCATGTGAAGATGAGGAAAGTCTTTGGTTTGGGGTTCCAAGCCTCGCAGTGAAATGTGGATAGATATTCCTTTTGTATGTTCTTTATTCCTGAAAAAAGGTGCTGCAGGCATGTGTCGGTTTACATTGCTTCTTGCACAGGCCAGTTGTTAAAACAAGTAAGTATATGTGCAGGTCGATTATCAGTTTAGCTGATTTGCCAGTCTGCTTAGTATTGTTCATTATTTTTTAGATGGTATTGAAGAGTACTGGGGTTAGGTATCCTCCTACATGGAGATGAGGAAATGCTTTTTAGGACTCCTGCACACATGTTGTCCTGCTATGGCATCGTAGCATCTCTGATGGGATTGATTCCTCAAGAATTACTGGTCTGATCTTCTGGAGTAATCAGTTTTAGATTAATGCCCTGAACAGCTTGAGTTAGTGGCAGTTTTGTAGCTTGGATTCAAGGCTGAAAATGGCCTTAAATTTCTTTGTTACTGGCAAGGATTCAGGTAAGAAGAAACTTATGCTTGTTGTCAAGTCCCTAGGCTGGTAATTAATCATTTTATTGGTAATGTGAAGGAAATGAGAATAGCTCAAGCAGAATTATTAGTCCTACAGTGCATTTAAAAGCTGCTTTTTTAAGGTCTACTGTAGTTATAATCCTGTATTTTAGGCAAGGTCTTTTTATTAAGAGGATTAGCAGGTCTTTGGGGTAACACACTTAAAATTGAAACAAAATGAAACAGCCCCCCTCTCATCATTCAAAATCAGTTGCTATTGTCCTTTTTACAAGCCAAACTCTTTAAATGGTCCAAAAAGCTTTTCCCTCTCAAACTGCAACCTTTATCTTGGTTGAAGGTACAGCTATGTGGGTGTGTAGAGCTCACGGGTGCGACACTCGACTATCAGACTTCTTCAAGGATGAACAGGAAATTTCAAAGTTCTCTTTTAAAAATCATAACAACTCATTGAAAATTTCCTAATATGTTTCCAATAGAAGATACAGTTTTTAAAAAATTGAACCTATAGACAGCTTGTTTCAAGTTTCTACACAGTCACATGTTGATGCTATAGGAAGATGTATAATCAACGCAGCACGGAGTTATCTGAGTCATAAGGAGGAGTAAAACACCTGTGATAAAACTTTAATGTTTAGTTGATTCAAAACTGAAAATTCGTTTTGTCATTTTGAAGTGGATCAAACATGATGTTCTGTCTTTCTCTTAACCACTCTGTAATGGAGCTGTATATTTATATCTGTGGTTGCATTTAGACTGATACATGTCCAAGTTGAGGATATATCGCTTCTTAATATAAATGATAACCTGTATTCACAGAAATTTATTTCAGCCCTTTTGGACCAAGTGAAAAGTTTGAGGGGGGTTCTTCATAATGGCAATGTACTCAAATATCTATTTTTTTTTTAAGTATCTAGGGCTTCTGTTATTTGGAGACCTTGTGCTCCACAACTCATAATGTGAGATTAAATGCTTTTCTTCCATGTTGAATTACTTTCACTTTATGCGTTTAGGGATCAACAAGATTTTTTCCATCAAATTGCAGTCATAAAATTAGGAATTTCTCTATCTCTCTCCCAGGAACCTGCTGCCTATCACCCATGTCTGTATAGAAGAGGGAGAGAAACCAATGGTGCTGCTCCCATACATGAACTGGGGGAACCTTAAACTATTCTTGCGACAGTGCAAGCTGGTAGAGGCCAACAATCCTCAGGTATGCTTGGAAATCTGTGACTTCTTACCTGTTAAACTCAGATTTGAGGTAGCTAGTATATCATACATCTTAAAAAAATAAAAAAAAAATAGAGAAAATGGCATACGATTGTGGATTTCAGTTAGAGTACATGGGGGGGAATTATCACAGAATATTAGGAGTTGGAAGGGACCTCGAAAGCTCACCCAGTCCAACCCCCCTGTCAGAGCAGGATCACCCAGACCAGGTCACACAGGAACACATCCAGGCGGGTTTTGAATGTCTCCAGAGAAGGAGACTCCACAACCTCTCTGGGCAGCCTGGGCCATGCTCTGTCACCCTCACAGTAAAGTAGTTTTTCCTTATGTTCATGTTGAACCTCCTATGCTCCAGCTTGCACCCATTGCCCCTTGTTCTGTCATTGGACATCACAGAGAAGAGCCTGGCTCCTTCCTCTTGACACTCGCCCTTTACAAATTTATAAACATGAACGAGGTCACCTCTCAGTCTAAAGAGCTAAAGAGACCCAGCTCCCTCAGCTGCTCCTCATAAGGGAGATGCTCCACTCCCTCCATCATCTTTGTGGCTCTGCGCTGGACTCTTTCAAGCAATTCCCTGTCCTCCTTGAACTGAGGGGCCCAGAATTGGACACAATATTGCAGATGTGGTCTGACCAGGGCAGAGTAGAGGGAAAGGAGAACCTCTCTCGACCTACAACCACCCCTTCTGATACACCCCAGGATGCCATTGGCCTTCTTGGCAGCAAGGACACATTGCTGGCTCATGGTCATCCTGCTGGCCACCAATACCCCCAGGTCATCTTCTGCCTGGCAGCTCCAGCCTGTAGCGCTGCATGGGGTTATTGCGACCGAAATGCAGGACCCGGCACTTGGCCTTGTTGAAGCTCATCCAATTGGCCTCAGCCCATTGATTCAGCCTATCCAGGTCCCTCTGCAGAGCCTTCCTACTCTCAGAAGATCAACACTCCCTCCCAACTTAGTGTCATCTGCAAACTTGCACTCAATCCCCTCATCCAGATCATTGATAAAGATTTTAAACAGGACTGGCCCCAAAACCGAGCCCTGGGGAACACCCCTTGTGACTGGTCGCCAACTGGATTTAGCTCCATTCACCACAAACTCTACTTGGCCATCCAGCCAGTTTTTAACCTAGCAAATTATGTATGGAGATGTTTCAGATTTGCTGATTTTTTTAAATATATAATTACTATCTATTAATTATCCCTTTAATTACTATAGTTAATTATTTTTAGTGAGCATAAAGCACTTTTGTTAAACTTTTGCAATGCTGCTGTAGTTTTGCTTTTAAGTAAAATAACTGGATTTATTTAACTTTAGATACTAAAAGAAGTGATCTCTGCTGGTTTTTTTTACTGCTGTGTCTGCTCTTTAGCATTCATAACTACTGTGTTTCAGTGAAACGTGTTGGATATATTGCATGAGAAGTGAGAAAATATTCCTAGATGAGAACATATTTTGAATATTTTTTAAAAACTGTGTAAGTGTTTAGTGATGGATGAGTATATGTATTAAAACTATCCGTCTTGTTAGGATTACCTTGTCTTTTCTTCAACTTCACCTTGGTTTGTCTTCTGTCTTTAGGCTAAATCAGGTGCGAATTGAAATTTGTTTTCCAAGCTCAGCATTTGTGCCTGTTATGTACCAAATTTCAAACTAGGAAGGGCCACATATACCTCTGTCAATTTACAAGTCGTGAGAAGCTGCTGGGATCTTTCAGCTTTGATTTTCCTTGTCTTGCTGCTTAATCTGAGTTTTATAAATCCCTACGCAACCCACTAATATCTCTCTTAAAAAAAGTTTAAGCAGAAATGGTATATAATCTGTACTATGTCAAATGGGAGTGGCCTCTTAGTAACTAGGTAAGACTATACTTAACTATCAAAAAATGGGACATTTGATGTCCTAAATACTTTAAGATGAAACTTTTCTACAAATACCTAAAGCAAACTCGTGAATTTTCTGTAATAATACGTGGCTGTTGTTCTTAATAACAGCTTGTTAATGAAGAAGCCAGTTGACTGTTGTTTGAATTTTAGTGTTTGGTTTATTTTAACCCCAGTCTTGCAGCTTCAGTGTGTCCGCCTACATACCGAAGTTCTGAAATTCCTGTAGGAGAGTGAACTCAGGGTATAGATCTGTGCAAGAGTTTAGTTTATAGAGGACTGTGACATTGTAAAAGTAGATGGAGCAGCAGCCTTTGCTACTGGTTTTCAGCAACAGATAGCAATGTGAATTTCTACTGCTGTTTGTGATCTTCTGCCTGAAAATGGATTGGTTTCCAGAGACATAGAAAGTGGAAAAAATTGTGGTAAGAGGGGTAAAATTGATCATTTTGCCTATGTTCACCACAAATCAAAGGAAAAGCTGTGTAGCAGTGAGGCGGAGGGTAACATTTGCCTCTGGCATGTCATAAAAGGAAAAAAAAAAGTTAAAAATTAGAATAAGGAGACTTCATAAGTTTTTCAGCAGATGGTAATGTGTGGAATACACTACTAGAAAGCATCGGCCACTAAAGGTGAGGGGAAGGAGCACCAGAATACAACACAAATACTTGGTTAGCGGGCCCTGGGCTTGCAGTTTGGCAATGATTGCTCTTCTGTGCTCTTGCAGGCAATTTCCCAGCAGGACCTTGTACATATGGCGATCCAGATTGCCTGTGGAATGAGCTACCTGGCCAGACGGGAGGTCATTCACAAAGACCTGGCTGCTAGAAACTGTGTGTAAGTACTACACAGGGTAGAGCTGTCGTGCAATGTTGGTAGGGATGAGCTTTCTCCAGTTGGCCTGATCTTATGTAAGAAAATAAAGTGCTACATTTTCTAATAATTTGCTCGATTCTTCTGTATGAAAGTACTACTGATAAACAGGTTAGTTTCTCAGAATTGCTGCCCATGTCTTGATGTAGTAGGGATTTACTCTTGAGGAACTGACTGGGTTACTGTCCCAGTTCCTGTTTGGCTTCCGTCTCCTTCAACTTTTTGTCACCTTTGTGAATGTGATTTTCCTTTATTTGCCAGCATGTTTTCCAGTATACCCTTGGCAATACCTCCTAGGATCCTCAGGGCTTCTGTCCTTCCAGTATCTTCAAGGCCCAGTTGTTGACCCACCTTGTTGTACCCCTCTTTGGTTAGGGATTTGCTCTGTTTCCATGTTGTCCTTGAAGTGGAAGCCCAGTTTCTGTCTTCGCACTGGTCATGGACCCTTCTGGTGTAGGGTCTGCCTTGGGGCCATGCTGCTGGTGTCTGTCAGAGCTCTGCACGTCTGGCTCGGCAATTAGTATTAAATTATGAGTCATGTTCCCCATCCCAGGATAGGTCCTGCTCCTGAAATTTGGACTGGCTTCCCTGCCTAGCCCCTCAGGGTTGTCAGGGGTCACTATTGCTACAACTTCTGTCCCTTCTGCTTCTCTCCACAAAATCACTCGTTCGTCTCCAATGCAGTCTTTAGCCCAGTTCTTCAAGCATGCCAATCAGAGCCAGCAGGTTGCATCTGAGGTGCTAAGAGAAGAAGCTGTGAGACACTTCAGCACTCATGCATGTCCTGGGTTGTTCTTTTAATACTGCACTTGTACTGGCACTAGGCACTCTTGGTGTAGCAAATGCTGGGACTGAGGGAGCAGTGAGATCCACCCTGATGTCACCCCCTCGTGCTTTTGAACTGGTGCCACCAGGCCGGTCCAGCAGAATCTTTTCTGGCTCTTGTGCTATGTGAGGATGCTGAGTTTGGTAGAGTTCCTGAGAGACTCTCTTAATTCCTATTGCTTTTCCTCTGGTGACCATATTGAGGAAGAAGTGATACCAGAGGAGAGGGAGATCATAAACAGTGCTCCAGGGAGATTGCTCTGTGACCACCTTTCATTTCTGTGCATTCTGTCCCTCTCCTCCATGGGAAATGCAGGCAGGAGCGGAGCATCTGCTGATCTGTGCTGCAATACAAGAAATACTGGGTTAGCCTTTGGGTTTTCAAGAGAAAAAAGAGATTTCAAGGCATCCTAGCTACTGGCAGGGCTTTAGTTCATCTGCCACCCCTTTGTTCCCCAGGTCTATTCCTGTGCAGTGAGCTCCTCCAAGGAGGAGTTGGTCTGAAGTGCATCAGACCTCTGTACCGGTGCCTTCATTTTGGGAAGGGAGCCAGGATTCCAGTGTTCTTGGCAGGTTTGTTAAGAGAGGAAATAAATTCTGGTCTCATGTGCCCATGGCACAGTTGGGCCCAATTAGAGTGGGCATATGGATTACACGAGTCATAGTTCTCTAATCACTAGGAAATTACCCTTTGTATTGTATTTATTTACAGCCAGATCTTCTAGGAATTTCTCTGAACTCTCGAAGAGTTACTAGATAGGGAAATTTTCTGGTCTATAAATTTTGAGGGCAATGAACTGACCAGAAAGTGCATAGAAATGGGATATATAAGAAGGTACTTGAGATAGTGAAGTGGGAAACACACAAATTAAGCATTTCTATTTAATTATTCTGATCAAAGTAAATAAATAATTGAGAAGATGGAAAGACAGCAAACACCATTTTGTTACATTTCCCTTAATCCAATGTTATTTCTGTATTTTTGTTGTAAGATCTTAAAGCCAACATCTTACCATATTCTGAAGTCAGCTGTTCGAGAACATTGAACTTTATTACACACTTTTTAAAGTTCAACAGAATATGAATTCACATCACAGAGTGGGGAGAAAACGCTAGGCTCTGTGTGCTTTTTTTGAGTCATCTTTTGTTGATTAAAAGAATATTTCCCTTAGCCAGTATCCTGTTTTTGACACCAGTCAGAATGAATATCTTGTGGTGAGGGGAATAAGTAATATCTTACCAGATAGCTTGATCAGAGACAAGATGTTAGGCCACAAATAATATGGATTGCTTTGACAAGATACTGCAAGGTCTTGCTTTGCTTAAAGTCTTTGGCTCATTATTGCTACAGAGGTCCTATAGCTTAAATTTGTTCAATTGATCTGATAGGGTATCCCCAAGGAAGCAGGAATCATTTAAGGGAGTTGGTTGTTTGCTTTAAATGTATTTTTTTTCACATGTAAATGTTTGATTTTTATTTAATATAAGACTGCTGATTTTTTCTACTGCTTATCTATTAATGCAGAGTAAATACGTTCTTTGATAATATTTGGTAATCACAGAAAAAGTGTGTCTTGATCTAGAATCACACAGAATCACAGAATATTAGGAGTTGGAAGGGACCTTGAAAGATCACCCAGTCCAACCCCTGCCAGAGCAGGATCACCAGACCAGGTCACACAGGAACACGTCCAGGCAGGTTTTGAATGTCTGCAGAGAAGGAGACTCCACAACCTCTCTGGGCAGCCTGGGCCATGCTCTGTCACCCTCACAGTAAAGAAGTTTTTCCTTATGTTCATGTTGAACCTCCTATGCTCCAGCTTGCTCCCATTGCCCCTTGTCCTGTCATTTGGTAGAAGAACACCAGTCCTTTGAAATGCTGATAGTGCAATTAGAGTTCCCCAATTAAATCTGAAGTCTGAAACTGAAGGTTGGGCATAATTTTTTTTTCTGCAAAAACTGTAGTGCCAAGTTTGCTTAATACTTCTGTTCTTTCAAATTAGCATTGACGATGCACTTCAGGTTAAGATTACAGACAACGCGCTATCTCGAGACCTATTTCCCATGGACTACCATTGCCTGGGAGATAATGAGAACAGACCAGTTCGATGGATGGCTCTGGAAAGCCTGGTTAACAACGAATTTTCCAGTGCTAGTGATGTGGTAAGTTTGGGTATTTTACTCTTACATTTTGTAAATGTATTTTGTTCACATCTTTTCCTTTTTTTCAGCCGTTGGAGAATCATGGCACTGAACAGGTAACAGTCCAGAGCAGCATCTGTACACCCACTGCCTGCATTTGCTGCTCATGGCAGATAGGTCAAAGATCAAGCAGGCCCTTCCTGTGCAGCAGAATTGTCCATTACACCCTGTTCTCCTTGGTAGTGTTAGCAGAAAAGGCAATTAAATTCAGTGAGCAATCTGTATGAGGACTTTGCTATTTGAATGAACATGATCCAGAGCCCGCAACAGAGCATTTCAGTTGCAGTCTCACAGATGGAGAAAAGGGGGAGGAATTGCTTCCCTTGGCCTCCTGGCTAACACAGTCCAGAACACAGCTGGATTTTTGGCTTTGAGAACATGCTGCTGATGGATTCAACGTGTTCACCAGGACTCCCAGGTCCTTTTCTGCAAAGCCGCTTTCTAGGTGGTCAGTCTTAGCCGGTCCTGGTGCAGGAGCTGTGCCCTCCCAGATGCAGGACTTTGTGTTTGCTTTCCTTGCACTTTGACGTTCCTGTCAGCCCCTTTCTCAGCTTCTTGAGGTCCTTCTGCAGAACCCTCTCCTCCAGCCTGTCAGCCATGCTGCTCAGGTTGGTATCATCCACAAACTTCCGAAGAGGCCTGGTTGTTATTGAACATAAAACAGTATTGATTCCTGAGCCATGCCGCTAGAAACTAGCTGCTAGTTGGACCACTACTGCTGGTAACAGGTTAGTCCGGCATAGTTTACCCTCAATAAATCCATGCTGGCTCTTCACAGACACCTTTGTGCTTCATATGTAATTTTTTTTTCATATGGAAATGGCTTCCAGGGTCATGTCTTTACCATTAACAGGAGCTTATGTTGGACTACCTGGCCCATAGTTCCCTGGATCCCATCTCTTCTAGAAGGTGCCTTTTTCCCAGTTGTCGGGAGCCTCCTCCAGTTGCAGTGGCTTTTCAGAGATTATGAGAGCAGCATTGCAATGACTTCAGCCTGCTCCCTCAGCACCCTTGGGTGCATCCCATCTTGTACAGTGGTCCGGTGTGTACGCAGAGGTGGTAGCCAGGTGGGGGTCGGTCTCTTCTCACAAATAACAAGCGATGGGATGAGAGGGAACAGCCTCAAGTTGCACCATGGCAGGTTTAGATTGGATATGGGGAAAAATTTCTTCATGGAAATGGTTATCAGGCACTGGAAGGGGCTGCCCAGGGCGGTGCTGGAGTCACCATCCCTGGAGGAATTTACAAGACAGGGAGATGAAGTGCTGCGGGACATGGTTTAGTGGTAGACACGTCATGACCTGGTTGGTTTCGATGATCTTAAAGGTCTTTTCCAACTAAATGGTTTTATGCTTTGAAATGTTTTCCTTGGTAGTTGAGCTCTGCGCTTTGGTTTTCCAGACTCCATCCCCTGCTGATGCACTCTCACTCTGTTCCCAAGTCGCCTTCTGCTTCCACCCTCTCGTCCCTGCCTTAGTGTCTGAGCTGAGTCAGGGCATCCATGATGGCTTTCTCCCATGCTTCCCCAGCTTCCTGCACAGCAGAACGGATGGTTCAGTGCTTGTCCTTGAAGATCAGTTAGAGTGCTAATTAATGGTAAACCACTTGCCCTCATGATCTTCCTGCTAAGAGGGTACTTTCTTTGGTAAGGGTGCTTTCCTTAACGTGGCTACGTCCAAACACTGTAATATGTGTCTTAAAATGGTTTAGAAAACATTTGACAACTTCTGGTTTCTTTTTTAATTCTTTTCCTCATTGCCGTGGTCTCCATACTAGTGCTTAAGACACATAAACAAAATCTAAAAAAAAGGAAGGAAGGGAAAG